GATGCGCTCCCGGACTAAGGCGAGAATATAAGACAGGCGCCGAACTAGGCCATACCGGCTGAGTAATACGCACGAACAAGCAGCGCACCCGGTTGCTTTTAGCGTACGTAACGACCGTTCACACGTGCGGCGCAAATATTCTAGAACTTCTGTCTGGGCACACAGCGTGGGAAACTCTCAATCAGCGTACAAATTAGAATATTCCGGGGCGTCTGTCACACGTCATAGGCCAAGAATGTTCCAGAACAGTCGGGACCCCATAAATAAGCTGGAGTTGATTAGCTAATAAATGCGTTGTTTTCTGCTGGCCCTTGCTCACAGAAGCCGGCTATTTGTCTTTTTTTCCGCCCGGCGGTTAGGGTACAACCATCAGGTAATATGGTCGCTGACTCATCGATAAATGTTTCAGCATGCACGGGCGAGGAACTCAATTATTTTCGAAAGTGCATATCTCAGCTGATGGCAGAGCTGTCCACAGGGGATTCAAGATCTAAGTTCCCAAAGCTATTGATATGTAGTGACCTTCATTACCACGCCAAACATGAGGTCACGTGATTGCAAGTCTTGACCTACTTTACGGAAAGCTGCCTGCTTCATGTGAGCGACTGTCTTCCCCGGCCAACTAACACGTGCGCATAAGTTTGCCTCCTCCGGTCTGGCCAATCACCTTTCAATGTTGACCAACATAGGACCTTGTAGCGACTACTGTCATTAAGTGCACACACTTCGAACCAAGCCCTCCTCGCGGCTGGACGTGCGGTCCGAAAGGCAACTCCCTCCCACCTATTCTCCTGGCCTTCTGTACAGAATAAACTATTCCTTCTACTCAGGACTCCCAATTCTTCCCCTTCCCACAAGGAACCGGATCTGAAGATCGTAGTGGCAAGAGTTTTCTCTGTTAACTTAACCCGTGTCAGCAGGTAAAAAGCCACACAATATTGGACCTTAAAGTCGCGGCAGTTTATGCGCTGAGCTGGAAGATGTATTACGCTTTTTCTAAGCCACTGGGTGCGTTGGGCAACGTCGGCGAGTGAGCTAGAAACAGTTCTCACCCTGTATGTATCCATATCTAATCACTCCACCTTGTTTCAGAAAATCCCCCCC